TCCATCCAGTGAATGAATTGTACAACCATTATTCTGAATTCTTTTTCTGTCATGTTGCATGCTTCAACTTCAGTAATTTCCTTTCTTGGCGACTCCTCATTGTCTTTCATCTGGGTTTTGTGTCGTCTCTTCATTCTGATTATCTCCCAATGGTTCAAACGTCAAGTTGCATGGGCCTGGGCCACGTGCAGTGGGAGCCTCACACCACCTTAGTGTCACTGAAGAGCTCTGACACTAAGATGTGTTGTTGTTGTGGGTTGGTGGAAACCAGGCTCGCTCAGAGTCAGAGTTGCCAGCGCTCAGTGTGGCTTCGTGTGCGCCCTTAGAATCAGGGACCCTGCCTGCACCATGCTGAAACAGAGACCCCCTCTGGAGCATGTTGAAAATCAGCGCCCCCTAGCGTGTGCCAGGAGTCAGAGTTCCCCAAGAATCCAGTATCAGAGTCTCTGTTGCTTCGGCAACCTTGCATTGAGAATCAGGGTCCCTGTGTGCCCTTGCACCAAGAATTGGAGTCTTAGTCTGAATGCACAGGGAGTCAGGGATCTCAAGCGCAGGTGATAAGAAACACAGTCAAGTCACTGGTGCTTGGTGCTGCCTCCTGCCCAGAGAATCGGGGTCCCTGGGCCCGTGCTACGCGGGACAAATTCCTGGTGTTCGCGAAATTGCTCCCAGCCCAGGACTCCTGCTGGCACTATGCGGGACCAGTTCCAAGGTGCTCGTGCACTTCCAGGCTAAAGTTCCTGTGGCAGCACTGAGGCCCGGGCAAGGGGTGGGTCTATCAGTTAGTTACTCTGGAGCTGCCGGCAAGCCTGCAGGGAGGGGGATGGGCTCTGTTACTCACGGATCTGCGGTGGGGATTTCTGAACTTTTGGTGTCCACAGATCTGTAGCTGTGGTCACAGGTCTCTGTCCCCAGTGGCTGCAGGGTCCTGGTATGCGTCTGAGATCAGACTGGGTGGTGCTGAGGCCAGTATCCTAGTCTCAAGCAGCTCTGTTTCCCAAGATGGCGTGATTGCTGTGCCCGTGCTGGCCGCCCAGGAGTGTCTGCGCTGAGAGCGGGGCTCCGCCGCCTAAGACTGCCCGGTTTAGCAGCCCCTTAGAAGACCTGCAGAATCTAACTGTCCCTAGCTCATACACACACACACCACACACATCCACATGCTCCTCTATCACTTCCTTGCGCTCTCACACTCTCTCCCTCCCTACCTTCCTGCCAGTCGCCATTTTTTCTCCCCAATTTATTTCTTGTTGTTGACCTATAATTTTTTCTTTTTGTTGACTTATATTTTAATTTCATTATGGTTGGAGGACATACTTTGATGATTTCTGTCCTTCTGAATGTATTGAAATGTGTTTTATGGTTGGCATTTGATCTATCCTTGACAACTGTCCATATGCACTTGAAAATTGTATATTTATGGTACAGTCATTGGGTTGAATGTTCTAGATTGAGTTGGCCGATTATGTTTTTCAGATCTTCTATATCCTTGATGATTTTCTGTCCAGTTGTTCTATATGTATAGATATCTCCAACTGTTATTGTTAAATGATCTATAATCTACTTTCATTTTGTCAAGTTTTGATTCATGTATTTTGATGCTCTGATGTTAAATTTGTGTATGTATTTATCATTGTTATACCATACTGATACATTGACCTCTTTCTCATTATGAAATGTCTTTTTATCTCTTGTAATATTTTTGTCTTAAATTCTATTTTGTCTGATGTTAATATGGCCACTCCTGATCTCTTATGGTTACTGTTTGTATGATATCTTTTCCTTTCACCCTATTTGTATCTTTGAATCTACTGTGAGTTACTTCTAGATAGTATGTAATTGGATTTTACTTTGATTGGGCTGTTTAGTTGTATTTATCCTTGCCATTTTTTGTTTGTTCTATGTAAGTCTCCTTTCTTTTTTGTTTCTCTCTTCCTCTTTGCCTACTTTCTTTTGTGTTAAGTTAACATTTTCAGCATATCATTTTAATTTCTCTGTGAATATTTTTACTTTTTAGCCATTTTTTCTTAGTCATTACTCTAGGGATTAGAATATACATTTTAATTTGCTACTTCAGATTAATACTAACTTAATTCTAGTAAAATAGAATATTCGCTTTAATATAGTTGCATTTTCTCCCTGCTCTTGTTTGCTATTATTGTCATGTATATTACATGTGTATGTGTAATAAATCCAACAATGTAGTATTATAATTATTGCTTCATACAATTTTATGTATTTTTAAAACAGTTAAGAGAAATGAAAATAAAGAGATCAACCAAAGGACTTGTATGCATGCATATAAGCATAACCAATGGACATAAGAGACTGGCGGATAGGGGAGGCCAGGGGATTGTCAAGGGCGGGGGGAAAAAAAGGGACACATATGTAATACCCTTTGTAATACTGTAAGCAATAAAAAAAAAGAGAAATGAAAATAATGTATCTATATTATCTTTTATATCACTATGTATTTACCATTTCTAGTCTCTTTATTTCTCCTTGATTATTCATATCATTGTTTAGAGTCAATAGTTCAGTCTAAATCAGACCTATTAGCAGTGCATTCTCATTGTTTATCTGGGGATGTCCTTTTTCAGCCTTCATTTTTGCAGGATAGTTTTGCTGGATATAGAATTCTTGTATTTTTATTTCAGCACTTTGAATTTGACATTCTACTACCCTCTCGTCCATCGTTTTAGGTGAAATGTCAGCCATTAATTGTATTGATGCTCCTCTATTCAAGGTGATCAGTAGCTTTTATCTTGCTGCTGTCAAAATTTTCTTTGTTGTATGTTTTTACCAGTTTGTGTCTATCTGTGTGGGATCCTTTTGTATTTATGCTGCTTGGGATTTGTTGAGCTTCTTAAGTTCAAGGATTAATGGTTTTCATCAAGTTTAGGAAGTTTTTAGCCACTATTTCTTCAGATATTCCTTTTGCCCTTTTGTCTCTCTCCTTTCCTTCTGAGACTCCTATTGTGCAAATGTTGCTACACATGGTCATATTCCACAGGTCTCTAAACCTTTGTTCTTTTTCTTCATTCTTTTAAAAAAAAAATTTCCTCAGCTGGGTTATCTCAGGTTAACCATCTTCAAGTTTATGGTTCTTTCTACTACCAGTGCAAATCAACCATTAAACTGCAGATTTGAATTTCTGACTCCAGTTATTATACTTTCCAAATCCAGAATTTCTATTTGGTTCCTTTTAAGAACTCATTTCTATCTCTATATTAATATTCTTTTTGGTGAGGCATGATTGTCATGCCTTTAATTCCCTTTTATTCTGTAGACATGGTTTCCTTTACTTCTTTCAACATACAGTGGGGCCTTGACTTACGAGTGTCCCGAGTAACCAAGGTTTTCGAGATACGAGCCATCTCTTGGCCGATTTTTTTTTTTTTAAATATATTTTATTGATTTTTTACAGAGAGGAAGGGAGAGAGATAGAGAGTTAGAAACATCGATGAGAGAGAAACATCGATCAGCTGCCTCCTGCACATCTCCTACTGGGGATATGCCCGCAACCCAGGTACATGCCCTTGACCGGAATCGAACCTGGGACCTTTCAGTCCGCAGGCCGACGCTCTATCCACTGAGCCAAACCGGTTTCGGCATCGGCCGATTTTTTGCTTTGAGTTGCGAGCTAAAATTCGGGTTACGAGCCAGCTTCAGATACCCCACCGCTAGTTGGCACAGCGAACGTCACAGTGAACGCCACAACATCAGCCCATCATCACGTGTCTCACTCGGTGAAAATTGATTTGACATACGAGTAATTTGAGTTACAAGCTCTGTCACAGAACGAATTAAACTCGTAAGTCAAGGCCCCACTGTATTTATATTAGTTGACCTGAAATCTTTGCATGGTAAATCCAGCATGTAGGCTTCCTCAGGAATAATGTTCATTGACCATTTCACTCCCCCCTCCCCCCCGCACCCCGCCTCCAGTATATGGGCGATATTTTGCTATTTCTGTGTATCATAAATTTTTGTCAAATATTGGATATTTTAAATTATTTGATGTGAAAATTCGGGTGTTCAGATTTCCCCTTTCCCTATGCTCAGAGTTTGTTATTGTTGCTGTTTGTCGTTGTTGTTTGTTTACTGACTTTCCTGGGCTAATTCTGCAGCTTTTATTCTTGATCATGTGCAGTCATTGAAGTCTTTGCTTGGTTAGCTGAGTCGTCAGATAATGATTTGACATATTTTCTTAAATGCTTTAAACCACCATGTCTTTCACCCTTTTCCAGTGGGCATTTTGTGTGTTGGGGCATGCCTTCCACGCTCTTGCAGTTTATAACTCTGCCTTAGGCTTCACTTCCTGCTTGCTCAGAACCTCAAAGTCAAGCATAGGTGAGAAATTAGGGCTCTGTCAATCTTTCCTGGGCATCTGCACAGCCTTCCACATGCTCATGGCCTTTTAGATCCCCAGGAATATGTCAGAAATTATCAAAGCCCACTATGGACATCTCATGCCTCAGATTTTCCTTTAAGTTTTTTGTGTGCAGATTTTTGTTTGTCCCAACTGGAACCACTGCCTCTGGCAAATACAATGTTAAACAATTGCCACTGGTTTTGCAGGACAAACTCCCCGGGGATATAGGGCTGTTTTCACTAAATGAGCGATGAGTCAGATAAAATAAAGATTAGCTCCATGAATGGGACTTTTCTAGGGAACACTCCTCTGATCAAATAGTGACAGTTCTTGGGGGCAGGGCTTTTGAGGGAGCTCCAAACACATTTGCCTCCTCCAGTGGCTGCTGGGCTTCTGGCTTTTTTAGCTATGAGGATTGTTGCAAGCTTTTGCTAATTTCTAGAGTGCTGAAAAAGTTGATTTTGAAAATTTATGCCAGCGTTCTTATTGTTTTTTTATGGAGGAATGGATTTTCAGAGGTCCTTCATCCATAATTCTAAAAGTGCTTTTCAATCTGTTTTCAACTACTGTGCATATTGCCTCTGATGTTTTTGATATCTCATGATGGTCTGCTTATATTTACTGACAGCCATGAAAGTCCATTCTTTGATTTCATTGAGAGCTGCTTGCGAAATAAACATGAAATGGTTATTTATGAAGCTGCTTCAGCTATCATTCATCTTCCTAACTGTACTGCAAGGGAGCTGGCACCTGCTGTTTCAGGTTGGTTATATATTTGATAGCTGGTTTTTGTTTCTATTCTTATGTTTGTTTTAAGCACCAAAGGTCTTCAGGATAGGTATTAGGAATGATTTCTGAATCTTAGCTCTGTATATATAGATGCCTTTGCATTCTGATAATGTAGATGATTATTTTAGTTGCGTTATTTCTTTTTGTGAAGTTTCCCCATATAAAACATTTAAAAATAACTTTAATGCCTTCAGTTCTTTGTAATGTTTAAAAAACCCATTTGCTCTTACAACTATAAATATTACTACCACTCATATACTGATGGGTATATTAATCCTTTTAGAAAAAAGAATAAACTTTGTATTCTCTATTTAAAGTTTTTATACCTCAACAAAATGTACTTTTTCTATTTTTGATGACACATTTTTCATGTGAAATTTTGATGCTGTAATCAAATTTCCTTATGCATATTTTGAATATGATTGTTCATGAACTATATTTTCAAATATATGCTCTATGACGAAATGAGCTATAGTTAGTGATCTTTTTTCTTTTTTAGTTCTTCAGTTGTTCTGTAGCTCTCCGAAGCCAGCTTTGAGATATGCAGCTGTGAGGACCTTGAACAAGGTAGGTCATTTATATCAATGTTTGATTGAGAAACATTAATTGTGAAGTGTTTGGCTTTCTCTCCAAGGTTAGTAAATATGATTTATTAGCTTTAGTTCTGTAGTATCTCAGTTGTATTTGTGGTCTTAGATATGGCCATTTTCACTATCATTCAACTAAAGATTACAATTCATTTCTGACTTTTAAGCACTTTATAGTGCCATATTGTCCAATATGATGACCTTTAGCCATAAGTGGCTGTTTCCATTTAAATTAAAATTAAATTAAAAATTCAGTTCCTTAGTTACTAGTCACACCTCAAGCGCTCAGGAGCTATATGTGGTTAGTGACTATCCCATTGGATGGTGTGGATATAGAACATTTCTATCACTGCAGAAAGTTCTCTTGGATATGCTGGTCTATAGTAGCCACATCCAATAGAAACTAAATGGAGTCACATACGAAAATTTAAATTTTATAATAAACACATGAAAAAAATTTTTAAAGATGAGATTAATTTTAATAACACATTTTATTTAACCTAATATATATAAAATGGCATATTAACATGTAATCAGTATAGCATTTGAAAAGATATATTTTGCCTTTTAGTTTTTCCATTCTAAATCTTACACATCTAGTGTTTTTTCTTAAATATTTACAGTATATCTCAATTTGAACTAGCCACATTTCAAATGCTTAGTAGTCACATGTGGCTATTGACTACCATGTAGCATGGTTCTAGAGGCTGCATTACAGAATACGTTAAATAACCATAAAAATTTTAAAGGAAAGTTTAATATAGTAGACGACTTGTCATAAGGTGGTGAGTGATTGGTTATGGGTTAATTATGTGAATAATTGGAGGACAGAGAAGTTTAGAGCAGCCAAGGAATAGCAATGTGAATTGTATTCAAAGAGTTGGTATAGGTCCACATTCCTTCATCTGTGACCTTGGAGCCAGATCTGTCTCGGAATTCTGAATTTTGTGAAATTTAGAAAGGTTCTATGATGCTATATCTTATATACTAACCCCATTGAGCCTGGAGCTGTAACCACCATTAGACACATTAAAATTTCTGTATGATAATATGATTATCCTTGGTAAGTGGAATAAATTAAGACTTAATTAGTTTTACAGTAGTTTGGGTCATATTTTGCGGTTAAGTGAATTTTGAGGCAATACTTTGCTGTTTTCAAATTTTTTTTATTGCTATAGGCAGAGAGGTAAATGGCACCTACAAAAAGAAACAGAAGAATGGCAGACATGCTTTAGTGACCATGAGCAATCCAGTTTGGATGGAATCTGTTTGCTTAAATACAGAAGTGTCTTCTAAGTGATAAGATATTAACAGTCTTTGAGCAGTATTTACCACGTGAGGTCCTATTTTCAGAGAACCTAACATCCAGTTGAATGGGTATCAATGTGCACAGGTACTATAAGGAAAAACAGGCCAACTGTAATAAAAGACAGACTGTAATATTGGGAAGAAAAAGTGCTATCCTGTTCTTTGACTATTATTGTTAATCATTCATCAAATGATATATCACACCTTTTTAATTGGAAACATTCTTTTTGAAACAATTTTAACCTATATTGTCCCATTCAGTTTTTAAAAAGCCACTTACCTTAAATTTTAATTTCTATTTTTCTCTTCTTTTTTTTTTTTAAATTCTGGTTTTTATCAATAGCAATTTGCTTAATATTTTTCTTGCCCTTCCACAAGGTGGCAATGAAGCACCCCTCTGCTGTGACTGCCTGCAATCTGGACTTAGAAAACTTGATCACAGACTCAAATAGAAGCATTGCTACCCTGGCCATTACTACACTTCTCAAAACAGGAAGTGAGAGCAGTGTGGACAGACTAATGAAGCAGATATCTTCTTTTGTATCTGAAATTTCAGATGAGTTCAAGGTAAGAATATGATCATCTTTTCTTCCAATCTCTATGGCTTGCCTATTTCTTAACAATATCTTTTGATGAGCAAAAGTTTTAAATATTTATGAAGTCTAATTTATTAATATTTTTTTGTTTCATAGTTATTGCTTTCTGTGTCCTGAGAAACCTTTGGCTACTTCTACATCTTAACGATATTTTCTTATGTTTTATTCTTAATATTTTGTGGTTTTAGCTTTTATATTTTGATCTGTGATCCAACTTGAATTGATATTTGTGTATTATGTTTGATAAGTTCAGTATTTTCCCATGCCAATATCCAGTCATTCCAGCATCATTTGTTGAAAAGACACATTGACATGCTTGGACATCTTTGTCTGAAAAGCAGATAACCATAGACTTGTAGGTATATTTCTGGGCTCCTTATCATATTCCATTGATCTATTTATCAGTACTATGCCAATACCCACTGTGTTTTATTATAGTTTTATGGTTACCTCTTCAATGTCAAGTAGTGAAGTAATGTGGTCTTTAAACTTTGTCCTTCTTTTTAATAATCTGGTTTCTTTGCATTTCCATATAAAATTTAGAACCATTTTATAATTTCTATAAAACAAAGCCTGTTAGGATTATGATTGGGGTTGTGTTGAATCTATAAATTAATTTGGGAAGAACTGACATTTTAACAGTATTAATTCTTCTAGTTCATGAATATAGTATACCTTCCTCTTTATTTAGGTCTTTATTCTGAGTAGTGTTTTGTAGCATTAATTCTAGAGATCTTGCACGTCTTTTGTTGAATTTATATCTGAATATTTTATGCTTATGACTCTATCTTATTAAAATTTCTATTTCATTGTTTGCTACCAGTATGTTAAAAAACCTCTCTCTCTCTCCCCCTCCCTCACCCCCCCTACTTTCCCATAACTTGATATCCTTGTAAAGCACCCTTATCAGTTCTAGTAGTTGCTCTATACATTCCTTAGGATTGTCTATATAATCATGTCATCTGTTAAGAGAGACAGTTTTACTTTTTCACTTCCAATCCAAAAGCTTTTCTTTTCTTTTTCTTGCCTTATTGAAATGGCTAGGAGTTCCAGTATAGTGTTGAATAGAACTTGTGAAAATGTGTTAGAGATAATCAGAAGAATAATAAATTTCAGCTAGAAGAACTAAAATAGAAAGACCTTATTCTTTTGTCTTATTTCTCAAAGAATATAATTGACCCTGTTTACTCTGTTATAGGATAAATCTAGTCTTTTAAACAACAAGCCTCGCCTGTATGTTTAAGCAGACATTTTGAATCTTTGGGAAACCTATGAAGGTCATTTTGTACTATAGCTTATTGAATGAATCTCCTGTGCTTGAGCATTTAGAGTGTGCAGTATTTTGCAATTACAAAGAACGCTGCAGTGAATAACCTTGTGCATTTGTTTCCTTGAAATGTTAGCGGTGTATCTTTAGGGTAAATCCCTAGAAGCCCATATGCTAGGTTGAAGGGTAAATAAATAGGTAGTTTTGTAGAGAAAGCTAAGCTCTACCAGCACTGTATGAGTGTCAGTTTTCCCTTAGTCTCACCAATGGAATGTGTTACGTTTTGATGTTTGGCCTGATGGATATAGTTTTAATTTGGATTTATTTTGTTATGAGGGAAGTTGAACATCTTTTCTTATATTTTAGGATCATTTAATATTTCTTTTTAAGTGTTGTCTGCTCATATATTTTCCCCATTTTTATAGGTGTCTTGGTTTTTTGTTTCCTTACTTATTTAAAGGTTTTTTTGTACATGTATATTAGGGATATTGGTTCTTTATCTATGAAATATGTTATTTTTTCCCAGTTTGCTATTTGTCTTTTGACTTTTTTATGACATCTTTTGTCATGCAAAATTTTATTTTGCTGTAGTCAAATTTGTCAATCTTATCTTTTATTGCTTTGACTTTTGAATAATAGCCTTTCCCTTCAGATTATAGAATCTTAATGTTTCTTCTGGTATGTTTGCAGTTTCACTAGACGCCCCATGCATGAATTCGTGCACCAGTGGGGTCCTTTGGCCTGGCCTGCAGGATCGGGCTGAAACCAACTCTCCGACATCCCCCGACGGGTTCCGGATGGCAAGGAGGTGCAGGCCAGGCCAAGGAACCCCACCAGTGCACAATCGGGGCCAGGGAGGGACGTGGGAGGGCTCCAGGATGTGTCTGGCCCGACTCACTCAGTCCCAATTGGCCAGACCCCAGCAGCAAGCTAACCTACCGGTCGGAGCATCTGCCTCCTGGTGGTCAGTGCACATCATAGCAAGCAGTTGAGTGGCCTTAGCATATCATTAGCATATTACACTTTGGTTGAATGGCTTACTGGATGACCAGACATTTAGCATATTAGGCTTTTATTATATAGGACCAGAGGCCCGGTGCATGAAATTCGTGCACGGCGGGAGGGGGGGCGTCCCTCAGACTGGCCTGCACCCTCTCCAATCTGGACCCCTTGGGGGATGTCTGACTACTGGTTTAGGCCTGGCCTGCGGGATTGGGCCTAAACCGGAGTCGGACATCCCTCTCACAATCTGGGACCACTGGCTCCTAATGCTTGCCTGCCTGCCTGCCTAATCACCCCTAACCCCTCTGTCTGACTCCCTGATTGCCCCTAACTCCTCTGCCTGCCTGCCTGATTGCCCCTAACTGCCTCTGCTTGCCGGCCTGATCGCCCCTACCTTGCCCTCCTGCTGGCCTGATCACCCCTAATTTGTTCCCCCGCCGGCCTGATCACCCCTAACCACCTCTGCCTCAGCCCCTGGCCTAAGCCGCAGTCTGGCCTCCCTCTGTGGGAGGGGACCTGGCGGATCAGGGGAAGGCACCACCCTCATTACCCCACTGCTGTTGTCACTGCTGGCCTGAGCCTGGGCCCTTTGCAGCAGCTGCAGCTTTGTCCAGAAGGATGTCCACCCTAATTAGCATGTTATCCTTTTATTAGTATAGATAGATGTTTTACATTTAGATCTCTGATCTATTGGATTTTATTATATATGAAATGAGAAATGGATCTAATCTCATTTTTTTCAATAACCTGTTGCTCCCAACCCCCCATTTTTATTCAATAAACTGTTTTTGCTTGTTATTTAAAACTAGTAGCCCAGTGCACGAAATTCGTGTACATTAAAAGGGAATTAATTGCCCTAACCAGTTTGGCTCAGTATAGAGAGCATCCACATGTGGACTCAAGGGTCCCAGGTTCGATTCCGGTCAAGGGCATGTATCTTGGTTGCAGGCACATCCCCAGTGGGGAGTGTGCAGGAGGCAGCTGATCGATGTTTCTCTCTCATTGATGTTTCTATCTCTCTATCCCTCTCCTTTCCTCTCTGTAAAAAATCAATAAAATATATTTTTTTATAAAGGGAATTAATTTGCAGAGATATTTTAATATTGCTATTTGCCCTTTCTCTATAATAGAAGTGTGAGAGATGAAAGGAAATTAGTAAAATGTATATGAAAGTAATATATAAATTTATTAATAAATAAACAGTAATAAAAGGATATAACAACAACAGAGGCATGATATAAAAATGACAAAAACATGATATGAAAACAACAAAAACATGATATAAAAACAACAGTGATGCAAACAACGACTGCTAAAGTGATTAAACTTATTCTAATATCTCCCTGTACACCACTTTAAGAGTGAAAACACTTTCAGAGTGCTTGACTAATTTCCCTTGTGATGAAGTACTTAGAACTTTAATTGTAACATCACATGCTCTTCAAACTCGAGAGAAAGCAACATATAACTGACCGTGTGCAAAAACGGGTTCAGGTAGGAATATGCCTACTCTGTCTAGAGTTTGTCCTTGTGATTTATTAATAGTCATCACAAATGCTGGCATCATGGGAAACCGTTGTTGAATCAATTTAAATGGGAGGCCAGTGTCAGATGAGGACAAATTAATTCTTGGAATCAGAACAGCCTCTCCCTCTGCAGATCCTGTTAATACTTCAGCTTCGATAATGTTAGGTCGTAATCTTTTGATAATAAATCTGGTACCATTACAAAGACCCCACTTACTATTGAGATTTCTCAATAGCATGATGATTGCACCCACTTTCAATTTTAATTTATGACACGGCATTCCTGAAGGAGTAATACTATTAAGAAATTCGATGGGAAAATTTTCCTTTTCAGCATCATCTGTGGAATCAATGGAATCATCACTCAAATATGTGTGAAAATCTCCATCGAGTATATCCAGATTTTCTTCATTTAATTTTTGAACAAGCTCATTTTTTGGACAAAGAATTGCACGTTTAGATATATTTTTAATATTATCTATAGCAGTGGTTCTCAACCTTGGCTGCACACTAGGATCACCTGGGAATCTTTTAAAAATCCTGATTCCTGGGCCTCATCCTCCGGAAATTGTTTCTTTGTTATGGGGTGGGGCCACAACATTAGTAACAAAGAAACAGAATTAAAACTTTATTGTGGGGAGCCGCTACAGTGTTTTGGACAGGTTCAAGCCTTGGACTGATGAGAGGGCACAGTCCTCTCATTGCCATGTGCAAGTCCCAGCTTGGAGGGCAGATCCCTCCCAGCACAATTATAGCCAACAGCTGTATTTGTAAGCTTGGACCTATGGTCCAAACACGTGGCCCCACGTGCCTGAGTGATGTGGGCTTGTTAGAGTTCAGGTGCATGTAGTTGAGTAGGATTGAAACCCAGGAGAATGTTGTAAACATCTTGGTCACGCCCTTACTTTGCCTCATGGCATTTGCTATAAAATAAAGACACGGCTGTGGTAGTGGTCGCTGTCTCTCAGAGAATCAGCGTCCCACCGAGACCCAGCTTTCATTCTCTTGTCTGTCTTTTCTAAGCCTTTCAGCCGCCCCCACTCAGGGTCACCCTTGGCTGTGCTGGCACAGCACACTTTATAAAGATATGCCTCCATGCTCCAAGGGCGGGTTCCTGCCTCAAACCCTGCCTTCACCGGAAACAGCTCCAGGAAACAGCTCGGGGGAGGGCGCAGCCATTGCCAAGACAACCCCTGCAGGACTGACTTCCTTCTGCTTGGCTGCTGCGGTTGTGGTCGTGATGAACACCACCCATGATTTTTATATAAGTAGATACCACCTTTAACATATACTAAAGTACCATATGTACTTGGGTCTATTTTGGGGCTTTCTATTCTATTATGTTGTTTTCTTTATTCATAAATCATGATCACACACTTTTAAATATAGAAGCTTTGCAGAATGTATTAATATTTATTAGCTGCCTCTCATAACTCTTTATTTTCATTGTTTCCCTAGCTAGTCTTATGTGTATATTTTTCCTTATGAACTAGTGTTAACTTGTCTAGTTTCATAAAAAATCTCCTTGGTGTTTTTATTGGGATCACATTAATTTATAAGTTAACTTAATGTTAAGACATTTTAACCAAGAACAGTGATGTTTTATAATTTGTTCCAGTTACTTTTGTGCCTTTCAAAATATTTAAAAGTATTTTTATTAGTTTTGAATGTCTTAAATGCTTTTCCTAACTATATTATCTTTTGTTGTTATATGTTTTAACCCATTATATCTTTTTAAAAAAATATTTTTATTGATTTCTTACAGAGAGGAAGGGAGAAGGATAGAGAGTGAGAAACATCGATGAGAGAGAAACATCGATCAGCTGCCTCCTGCACACTCCCCACTGGGGATGTGCCTGCAACCAAGGTATATGCCCTTGACTGGAATCAAACCTGAGACCCTTCAGTCTGCAGGCCGACGCTCTATCCACTGAGTCAAACTAGTCAAGGCACCCATTATATCTTTTAACTAGCTATTTTTCATGCAATGATTAGTATTATTTTTGCATTTTAATTTTATATCCTACTTCCTTGTTGAATTATTTTATTTAGTTTTATTGCTTTCGTAGGATTTCCAGGTATATTGTCATATCATCTGTAAATAAAGATAGTTATGTCTTTTATTTTTCAATTCTTATTCCTCTAATTGTTTTCTCTTGTCTAGTTGCATTAGCTAATAACTCCATAGTAATGTTGAATAATAGTCGATAGTGGCATCCTTATATTATTTCTGACCTTAATGGGAATGCCTCTTGGTGTTCTCTATTTAGTAATATAGTGACATTAGGATTGAGGTGTGAGTGTGTAAAATGGAACTATCTACCCATTTCTATTTTTTTTTCAAGAATTTTTATTAGTAATAGGTGTTGTATATTTATCAAAGTCTTTTCAGCATCTATGGATATAATCCTATGATTTTTCTTTACTGACTCATTAATATATGCATTATATTAACTAATCTTCTTACGTTGAACCATTATTGCATTCTTGGTATAAATCCCATTTCATGATGAAATATTATTTTATTACTGTAGTATTGGAGTTGTTAGCTAATCTATCACTTAGAATTTTTGCATCAATATTTATAAATGAATTCCATCTAAAATTTTTTGTTTTGCATGTATTACATCTTTATTACGTTTTGGTATGATTGCTTCATAAAAAAAAACTGGATGTTTGCTGTGGCCGGGTGGCTCAGTTGATTGGAGTATCATCCGGTACACCAAAAGGTTGTGGGTTCAACTCCTGGTTAAGGCACATACCTAGGTGGGTTTGATCCCTGGCAGGGTGCATACAAGAGGCAACTGATTGATTTGTTTTTCTTCATTTTCTATGTTCTGAAATGATGTGTATAGATTGGGACTATCTGGTTGTTGAGAAGCAATTCCCAATTCTCCAGGAGTTTCTTGTATTTCTGCACATCTTGCAAGTTAGGCACTAACTGCCCTTTGTTTCCTACTGTCCTAGCTTAGTTCCCTTTGTGTAGTGCAAGGTATTTTCCAACCTTAGAAAATATAGTGTCTCCCTGTACAGGGCATATTTCAATACAGCTCTAAAAGACAAAGCTACTGTTCCCTGTAGAGCAGCGGTTCTCAACCTGTGGGTCGCGATCCCTTTGGTGGTCGAACGCCCTTTCACAGGGTCGCCTAAGACCATCCTGCACATCAGATATTTACATGACGATTCATAACAGTAGCAACATTACAGTTATGAAGTAGCAACGAAAATAATTTTATGGTTGGGTCACAACATGAGGAACTGTATTTAAAGGGCCAGAGGGTTGAGAACCACTGCTGTAGAGCAAAAAGCAAACATGCTCACTGTCCAGTATAAGAAAAATAATGTTTCCCTTCAGAACAAAAGACCGGCATGCTTATTGCCCATTGTAAACTCAAGTGCCATACCTCGGTGTTCTTCTCCCGTAATGCAATGGTCTGCAGGTCTCAGTGTTATCTGCCCCTTTTTGCATTGCCCTGTGGGGATTGGGGCTCAGGAAACTGGTTCCAAATACTGGTATGGTAGCTACTGCTGTTGCAATGAGTAATTTACTGTCTTTCATCTCTGATCCTGGAGTCTCATGTTTTCTACTAGCATTAATGAAATTGTGGCAGACTCACTTGTTAGCTTGCAAGTAATGTAATATCTCACACCCTTCTCACTTGACACTGGTCTTTAAAGTTGTGGTAAAATTATTCTAGAAACCATTTTGTAAAGTAGTTCTATGGTAACTTTCTATTTCTTCTATGGAAATCAGTCTGTTCAAGCTTTTAATCTTTACTGTTCACTTTAAAATTTTTATGTGCTTATTTATTTGGAGTAAAGGAATGGAGTCTTTTGAATGAACTTTTTTTTTTTTTTTTTAAATATATTTTATTGATTTTTTACAGAGAGGAAGGGAGAGAGATAGAGAGTTAGAAACATCGATGAGAGAGCAACATCGATCAGCTGCCTCCTGCACATCTCCTACTGGGGATGTGCCCGCAACCCAGGTACATGCCCTTGACCGGAATCGAACCTGGGACCTTTCAGTCCGCAAGCCGACGCTCTATCCACTGAGCCAAACCGGTTTTGGCTTGAATGAACTTTTTATTTTCCCTTGAGGTCTCTTGGCTTATCTTTCATGAAGAACCATTGCAATTTTGAATAACTACAGTGCCTTCTTAGCTTACAGTAAATAAAGTATGCTTAGTAGCTAAAGTTGTAAAGATGAATGTCCTTTCTGTGTTGGTCTTTTTATGGGTGGTGGTAGTACAGTCATTATAAAGGTGAATGGCCTTTCTGTTTGTTTTTCTGCAGGTGGTGGTTGTACAGGCAATTAGTGCTCTCTGTCAGAAATACCCGCGAAAGCATGGCGTCATGATGACTTTCCTCTCCAACATGCTCCGAGACGATGTAGGTGGACTAGTTTGTAAATCATAGGAAGTTGCTCTCTTAAATTCTTACGATTCCCATTAAATGTCACAGTATTTAAAGCAGCATGTGTCTCTCAAATAGTGTGCTTACTTCTGGTTGCTGACTTATCATTACTAAACATGCTATGGCTCTAGCTTTTCCTGCAGAAAAAAACACTTCTGTTTCTTTCATAAAGGAAGGGAAGGGAAATTTTAATATTATAAGCATAAGCCTTGGAGTATAAGCATTTCTCCAAAAAGCATCCTCAGAACGAATGGGAGTTTTCTCTTTTGCCAGGGAGGCTTTGAATATAAACGGGCCATTGTGGACTGCATCATCAGCATTGTGGAAGAGAACCCTGAGGCTAAAGAAGCAGGTCTAGCCCACCTCTGTGAATTCATTGAGGACTGTGAGCACACTGTTCTGGCTACAAAGATTCTACACTTGCTGGGCAAAGAGGGCCCCAGAACGCCTGCTCCCTCCAAGTATATCCGCTTTATTTTCAATAGAGTCGTACTGGAAAATGAGGCTGTTAGAGCTGGTAAGTCATTGGAACACTGATAATGGTGTAACTGCTGATCTTTTTAAATGTGTAACTCAAGGGGGTGGTGATGAAATTGGAAAATTTCTACTTGATGGTGGGATCCTTCCTATACTTCCCGTGTCTGATAAACTTGAAATAGCCACTCATGAACTTATTTCCCATTTTCTCTTCAACTCACTATAATCTAGCTCTCTTCCTTAAAAATCCTCTGAAGCTATTTAAAAAATATATCACTTATAAGCGAGTTGGAAAATCAAGTTAAATACTCTAATGTTTTTATCTTTGTTCACCTCTCAGTCAGTTTAATGTACTATTGACTAAACTCTCCCTTGGCTTCCACAATAGCCTGCATCTTTCCATCACTCCTCAGTCTTATTTATAGAGCTTCTCTTCCATTCCCTAAAATAATAGTTTTCTAAGGGGTTTGTCTTCTTACCATACACACTTATTCTGGTGATCATTTTCAGAGCTCTATTCATAGGCGGTGACATTGCAGTCATGTCTCTTTCCTGAACTTTTATGTCCAACTATCTAAGGCACTTCTAATTCAACTTAAAACTAAACTCACCCAAACCTTTATCATCCATTCCTTTGCAAAGGCAGAAACTTATTCTCCTGTTTTATAATCTCCACCTGTTCTTTGGCAAAATTCTATCAATTCTGACTCTTTAATATTCCTTTATTCTCTTTTTCCTTTATTTTCATGGGTGCTGCTTTAGGCTCTCCTTCATTTCCAGTGCCAACTAGTGTGACTGCTCCCACTCTCATACAGATCCAGTCTGTACTCCACACTCTGCTACAAAAATGGACTTTGCATTTAAAATCTGCTTATAAGTTTAGTGTAGCGTACTCTGCTGCAAATACACAAATTCATGCTGTGTTTAACATCCTATGTAATAAAAGGGTAATATGCAAATTGTCCCCTTGACTGGGAGTTTGACCGGAGTTCTACCAGGAGGCAGGGCCAGCCTGCCAACTGCCACGGCCCCTCCCCCTGGCCTGTCTCGCCCCCTTTCACTCCCCACCCACATCCCCTCCCCCCAGCCGTTCACAAATTCGTGCACCAGGCCTCTAGTCTATACTAATAATCTATACTAATAAAAGGGTAATATGTTAATTGGACCAGACATCTTCCGAACATCCTTCCAGACAAAGCCATGGTGGCGGGGCTGAGGCAGAGGCAGTTAGGAGCGATCAGGCCAGCAGGGGAGAGCAGTTAGGGGCAATCAGGCCAGTAGGGGAGAGCAGTTAGGGGGGATCAGGTCAGCAGGGGAGAGCAGTTAGGGCGATCAGGCAGGCAGGGGAGCAGTTAGGGGCATCAGGCAAGCAGGAAGAGTGGTTATGGGCAATCAGGCAAGCAGGCAGAGTGGTTAGGGGTGATCAGGCAGGCAGGTAGGTGAGCAGTTAGGAGCCAGAGGTCCCGGATTGTGAGAGGGCTGTCCGACTGTGTCCCCTCCCCCAAGCTGTGCCTAAATTTATGCACCAGGTCTCTAGTCTTTACTAATAATCTATACTAATAAAAGGGTAATATGCTAATTAGACCAGACATCTTCCAGATGTCCTTCCAGACAAAGCCATGGTGGCGGGGATAAGGCAGAGGGAGTTAGGAGCGATCAGGGCAGCAAGAGAGAGCAGTTAGGTTAGGGGCAATCAGGCCGGGAGGGGAGAGCAGTTAGGGCAGTGATTCTCAACCTGTGGGTCATGATCCCTTAGGCGGTCGAATGACCCTTTTACAGGGGTCACCTAAGACCATCCTGCATATCAGATATTTACATTACGATTCATAACAGTAGCAACATTAAAGTTATGAAGTAGCAACGAAAATAATTTTATGGTTGGGTCACAACATGAGGAACTGTATTTAAAGGGCCAGAAGGTTGAGAACCACTGAGTTAGGGGGATCCCTGTGGGATTGGGCCTAAACCGTCAGTTGGACATCCCCTGAGGGGTCCTGGATTCGAGAGGGTGCAGGCCGGGCTGAGGAACCCCCTCCCCCCCATCCCCATGCATGAATTTTGTGCACTGGGGCTCTAGTTCTTTAATAATAACAGAGGCTAAACCACAACCTATTTTTGTTTTATTTCTAGTCTCACTTGTCTCCTCCTGCTCTCAAACATGGGATCCTATTCTTCAGCCTTCCTCACCTGTGTCTAGTTCCAATATGACATTATGCTTTTTTCTCTGGACTGAGGGTCTTTGCACTTGTCATTCTCTCTGCCTTTAATACTATTTTCCTTCCATTTCCCTTTGGTTAATGTTACTTCTTCAATATTTAGCTCTACTTTTCTTCACCAATTCTGACTTGTTTCTTTCTCTGTATTCACTTATCTTCCTGGATATGGTTCTATCATGGACTTATTGTGCTGTGTTGTAATCATCTTTTTACTTACCTGTCATTCCCACTAGACTACAACTCCTTTATGTCAGGGGCTATTTCTTCTGTCTTTCTTTCCCCAGCACCTATCACAGTTCCTTGCAAAAGTTATGTGAGCAATAAATCTTTATTGGATTAAGTGAATTTTAATAATAGAGCATCTATTTATGCTTGGAGCTGGTTGTTTGAGATTATAGCTTAATTATATCAGTATGATATATAAGAGGTTGTAGTGGGAATGGAGGAGTGCTCATAAAAAGAAATTGATATGATTTTTCCTACAATGCATGGAGGATTTTCCTATTCATAGCTCTCTTGGGCCTACAGATTTCTGTTTATGCTTAAATGGATCAAAGAAATAAGATCAAGACACAATAAAACAATAAGAGAGTTTATTCCCTCTGAACATGGGTAAACTTTTCTAATTTTTTGAATGATTATTACTTAATGCAAGAAACCAATATTTACGTTGCTTCATTTTATGCTTCATTATAGCTGCTGTGAGTGCTTTGGCTAAATTTGGGGCTCAGAATGAGAATCTCCTCCCAAGCATCCTTGTACTCTTACAAAGGTGAGTAAAAGAATGTCATTTTTTTGGAGCCTTTTTTTTTTTTAAATAAGAACTGCCATATGGCTGAATAGAGTTCCTCATTGTACCATATCAAATGCATTACAGGACCTAAGAATAGAGCTGATGGAGTAAGTGAGGGGCAAATGGCATTTTTGTTCTCTTCTAGTAATTTTGTGTATGCTAAGTACTTATAAAATTTGATTTTGAATTTCTCTTTGTGTGAGTTTGAGAAAGTGACTTAAAGGTGTATGCCTCAATTTGTATATTAGGGGCTAACTTCAAAGTGATTCACTAAGTAGAGTTGCAAATTTCAGCTTCTCATGGTCTCTCGGACTCCCTATTTGATGAGGAAAAGACTTGATGTGAGCAAAAACTGTGATTATATCTTATTAAAAGATAAAAATTACAAACCAAAGGCTGGTTGGTTTAAATGAACAGTGCTTGGATTTTGAGTGCTTTTTAATATCCTTAGAAAGCCTAACATTCCCATTTTTTAATAAACCAGTTTTTTTTTTGTTTGTTTGTTTTGTTTTGTTTTGTTTTTTTAATATGTTTTATTGATTTTCTACAGAGAGGAAGGGAGAGGGATAGAGAGTTAGAAACATCGATGAGAGAGAAACATTGATCAGCCACCTCCTGCATACCCCCCCACTGGGGATGTGCCCACAACCAAGGTACATGCCCCTTGACCGGAATCGAACCTGGGACCCTTGAGTCCGCAGGCCGACGCTCTATCCACTGAGCCAAACTGGTTCTGGCCCCATTTTTTAATTATAAAGAAGCCTAAGTCTTTATCAGGATCATGTGGTTGCAGACCCAAGAAAAACTCCAAACTGCTATCTTATGTTATTGAGTTCTTCCTAATTTTTTTAATTATTTATTATTATTATTTTTTAAAATATATTTTATTGACTTTTTAGAGAGGAAGGGAGAGGCATAGAGAGTAAGAAACATCGATGAGAGAGAAACATCGATCAGCTGCCTCCTGAACACCCCCTACTGGGGATGTGCCCGCAACCAAGGTACATGCCCTTGACCGGAATTGAACCTGGGACCTTTCAGTTCACAGGCTGACTCTCTATCCACTGAGCCAAACCGGTCAGGGCAATTCTTTATTATTGAAAGTATTTCATATGTCTCTCCCCTCTCCCCCTATTGTCTTCTCCCAGCCTGCCCCTGCCCCTGAGTCCCAGCCTTCACCCCCCCCTCATTGTCTTTATCCATTGGTTATGCTTATAGGCATACAACTTCTTTGGTTGATCTCTTCCCCCCAAGTTCTCCCCTCACCCACCACCCTCCCCTACTTTCCCTCTGAGGTTTGAGGGTCTGTTCGATGCTTCTATGTCTGTATCTAGTTTTGTTTGCCAGTTTATGTTGTTCATTATATTCCACAAATGAGTGAGATCATGTGATACTTATCCTTCTCTTGCTAATTATTTTAATGCCTATTTATATAGTGCTTATTTACCAATTGGGAGCAATACTCAAGATTTATGGTGATTTTAGGATACACTGTTGGCTGTTGTTGAGTTCTTTTATAATAAAGGTAGTGTCAGCCCTAACCAGTTTGGCTCAGTATATAGAGCATTGGCCTGCGGACTGAAGGGTCCCAGGTTCGATTCTGGTCAAGGGCATGTATCTTGGTTGCGGGCACATCCCCAGTAGGAGGTGTGCAGGAGGCAGATGATTGATGTTTCTCTCTCATCAATGTTTCTAACTCGCTATTTCTCTCCCTTCCTCTCTGTAGAAATCAATAAAATATATATTTTTTAAAAAGGTGGTATCACATGGCCTGGTTGTGTTCTTTAGACGTGGTGGTAAAGCTCTTGGGAATCTTTAGGGTGCTGTGTGACATGCCTATTTGTATCCCCTGGACAGGTGTATGATGGATACTGATGATGAGGTCCGAGACAGAGCTACTTTCTATCTGAATGTGCTGCAGCAGAAGCAGATGGCATTGAATGCTACATATATCTTCAATGGTCAGTGAGAGCCACGGATATAGACAAATATACTTTTGGTATCTTGGAAGAATGTCTTAAGATGATTTGCATATGAGCTGACTTTACTAGGAAAAATGCTTCTTTTATGTTTTTGACTGCACTTGCATTTCTAGGGAAATCTAAAGTATGTAAAAGCCCAAAGAATATTGCTTGCTCCTGATGCTTTTTGAGCTCATTCTTGAATGGGTTTACCTTTTCTCCCTTTTCTTATGCTACTAGAGGCTTGGTGCATGAAATTTGTGCACTGGGGTGGGGGGGTTGTCCCTCAGCCCAGCCTGCATCCTCTTGCAGTCTGGGAGCCCTCAGGGGATGTTCAACTACTGGCTAAGGCCCACTCCCTCGGGTTGGGCCTAAGCTGGCAGTCGGACATCCCTCTCGCAGTCCAGGAGCCCTCGCTCCTTACTGCCTGCTCGCTGCTCTTTAGTGCTGCCATGGAGGCCGAAGAGGCTCCTGCCACTGTGCTCACCAGCCATGAACCCGGCTTCTGGTTTAGCTGCACTCTCCCTGTGTGAGTGCACTGACCACCAGGGGGCAGCTCCTGCATTAAGCGTCTGCCCCCTGGTGGTCAGTCTGCGTCATAGTGACCCGTAGTTCTGGTCATTCTACCATAACGGTCACTTAGGCTTTTATTAGATCATTGTTCCCACATGGGTAAGTTGCTCTCTTTTACGGAAGGTACTTATATTTTGTTGAAAATGTTTATGCTCTGCTCCCATGCTTCCTTGGATGAAATTTAAGAAAGTTTTATATAATAGCCTTTACTTTTAATTTCTTATGTTATAAAGTCTGTGGTTATATTTTCCCCTCCTTCAGAAAGAGTAGATAAACAGTGTAAATCTGGGCCTATCTGGATCCTAGTATTGGCAAGAAGTTATAATGCTGAGATTTCTCTGTTTCATAGGTCTGACAGTGTCTATACCAGGGATGGAAAAAGCTTTACATCAGTATACATTAGAGCCTTCAGAAAAGCCCTTCGACATGAAATCTATTCCTCTTGCTATGGCTCCTGCCTTTGAACAGAAAGCAGGTAATGGGACGACTTCACTCTGTTAGTGTTTCTGTGTTTAAGTAGTGTTATTAGCATATTTTCTCTAATACATCCTTAGTTTGCTTAATTGTCACTCTGCATTTCTAAATCTTTTTAGAAGTATGGTGGATGATGTTTTTAATTAGCTTTTAAATTATTTTCCTGGTTTTTCACTTAAAAGCTCAAATATGAAGTGTGACCAGATTGAAAGTTTTTCTTTTTCCGTGCTTAGTATTGCAGAATCTGAAGTTAGCTGTCACTGTGTGTCTCAGAGCTGCAATTGTGCTGTCACCTCCTGTTTTTATTTTCTGAAGTTGGTAATTTCTTAATTTTACTATTGGAGGTTTGTCTTGAAAGAATGTATGGGACAAGATCATAAAAAAATGTTCCCACGGGATAGCTAACTATAAAATTAAAAAAGAAGGAAGGAAGAGGGAGGGTGGGAAGGAGGGAGGGTGGGAAGGAGGGAGGGAGGGAGGGAGGAAGGAAGGAAGGAAGGAAGGAAGGAAGGAAGGAAGGAAGGAAGGAAGGAAAAATGTTTAATGGTCAGACTGAGAAAGAATGAGCTTAACTTTGAACCTTTTCAGTTTTTCTGTTGATACTATACAAGTAATTTTTCCTATTTGAATCATGAGAAGACTTGTTTTATAAATAGTTCCTTCTTTTGAGAATATTTTTTTGTACATTCTTGCCCATTTAAAGCAAATACTATATTTTAGGGCTTACTTTATTATATAACAAAATATGTTCACTAAGTAAATTTTAATTTGAACATCTCACTAAAAAAAGGTGACAGAAGCCTACTGGTGTTTTTAGCAGTGGCTTCTTTTATGTGTGTTAGAAGCTTCTGCCTTGATGTCTTTCTGTCTGCATTTTCAGCTTGATAATGGGAGGAAAGCTCACTTGATTGCTCGTATCTGTCTTTTTAGAAATCACACTTGTGGCTACTAAGTCAGAGAAGTTGGCTCCTTCCAGGCAAGACATTTTCCAAGGTACGGTAAATTGATGGGTAGAAGTAATAGTCTGCACCCTAGGCATTATAAATATAATGAAATGCACTACTTTCATTCAGTTTGATGAATTCCCAGTGCAGGAAATCTTTGTGTGGCTGAATATTTGTTGTTATAGGTTATAGTTGTTGTTATAGATTATAGTTGCTGGGGCTACCTAAAGTCCATGGAAAATGTGCTAACTGGGAATGTTGTTCTTCATATTCTAGGTAACAGGGAACTCAAATTCTAAGAAATTAGGAATATAAGGTTTTTTTGCTTTTAGTAATTGAGTGTATAAACTCTTAAAATATTAATTTATTAAAGCTTGGGGATATATCAGAGTTTAATTATTATCTAGGTGATGGAAACTTAAAACATCATGAGCATCTAACATAATGTCCTCCTAGATTATTCTCATTTTGGGTCATCTTCTCATTTTGTTTTCTTCCTTATTTTTTTTCTTGATAGAACAATTGGCTGCTATTCCTGAGTTTATGAATCTGGGACCCTTGTTCAGGTCTTCTGAGCCTGTTCAGCTTACAGAAGCAGAGACCGAATACTTTGTTCGTTGTGTCAAGCACATGTTTACCAATCACATTGTGTTCCAGGTGAGATAAGTTCCCTACCCAGCCCCTATGGGAGCTTACTAGGCTTGGAGACCAGTATTAACTCCCCTGTAATTTGTGATTCTAGTAGTTCTTTTTATAGAGAAGGAAAGGAACTTAGTAGCATTTCTGGTTTTCCTTCCCATGGCTACAGAGATGCCTTTGTATGATGGGTTAAAAACTAAAAGAACTTAAAAATAAAATATCTGGAAAAGTTTCACAACATAAAGTATAAGCTGCTAAAAAATAATCACCATTTAACATAAGGATAAAAGCTTAGCTTCTAAGAATCAATTGAAATCCATTAAACATCTGCCATCTTGTTTGGTAGAACTAAGTCGCAGGAAAGAGAGAAAAAACGAGTGAATAATATAAACCCCAAAGCTTCAAGGATAAGGCTGTCCCTATTACCTAAAGAAAAACCTTAGGAGGAGACCTACAGCACTATTTGGGGAGGAAAGGCATAGTGAATTCCAGAACTGAGTTATGGGTTATGGGTGGGAAGGGACAACTTGCTTGCAAACCGTTCTTATCCTTCATAATGTTTTTCTGTTTGCTGACTTTTCAGTTTGATTGTACCAACACTCTCAATGACCAGCTACTGGAGAAAGTGACAGTGCAGGTGGAACCGTCAGATTCCTATGAAGTGCTGTGTTGTATCCCAGTCCCCAGCCTCACTTATAATCAACCAGGAATATGTTACACTCTTGTCCGTTTGCCTGATGATGACTCTTCAGCAGGTACTAACCCGCAGAGGGGAAGAGACACTTACATGATTAAGAATGCATTACCACTTGAGCTCCTAAATGTCTGGAGACATGTTTGGGGTTCAAGAATATGGTTCTTTTCTAGAATTAAATGTAATGATAGTGATGATGTATTCATAGTTATATAATTAGTGCTGCAGAAATATTATTTATAACTAAATCTCTAAGTAGAATTTGCTGGACATTTAATCTTAAAAAAGAATCTGAATAGTGTAGAGGGGCAGCCCCAGAAGGACGTCAGGCTTTCTGGTAGAACAGTGTAACCACTGAGGAGGGTTCATCTGTCTGATGTCTCCTGTAAGGAGCACGGCCCACTTCTCCCTGGTGTTTCTTTCCAGGACATTGTAAGGGCTTTTTATTAGTAGATCCATGGCATTTTAAAATATATTGTCTTTGAGGGTCTGCTGGCGGTCGCCAACCTTTCGGACTACCGATTGGCGACCGCTGCTATACCACAGTACTGGCATCTGGGAGTATGTCTCAGCCCAGTAAATGTCTTAATCAGCATTTGTGTATCCACATGGGAAAAAGGCTTTGTAATTCTTTCCTCGATTCATGTGGAGTCTGGGTAGGAGTGGGGACGGTAGCTTCTAGTGCCCATAATAGTATTTACAGGTTCAGGGACTTGAGGTCTTCTGACCTACCTCTTGTGAATGTCTAGTGTGTGTTGTACTTGATATATTTTCCCCACCTGAGTGCTTCTTCTCTTTCCATATTCACTAAGGAGTATTCACAATGGTTACCTGGTTTTCACAGAAATAAGCACACACATTGCATTTATGTTTTGAAAAACTTTTATTAGTAGTACTGGAAAAAACATTTATTACTTCTAGTACAGGAAAATACAATGTTTACTACTAGTACAGGAAAAACAATTTTTACTACTAGTACAGGAAAAACAATTTTTACTACTGATACAGGGAAAAAATTTTACTAGTACAGGAATAAAACAGATAATAGTTAACAAATATTGAGGAAGGTACAGAGTTACAAGAAATCGTAAAAGTACTAGTGAATTGTTATCTCTGGTCATCATTCAGTTACATTAGGGGCTTAACCTGCCTCCTTTTAGCCCCTTTCCAAGCTCCCTTTTTAGATGTTGTTTCTGGGAACCCCTGCCCAATCATATCTCTGTTGGATGATAGACCAGGCTACTCACTCTAGCACGAGGTAGATTCAAATTGGCACTGTTGCGGGGTCTGAATCCCAGGTTGTTCCCTCTGACCCCTGGGTGCAGCCACCCTGGATCCATAACCCGCTGGGTTAGGAAGGCACTTTCCTATCTGGCCTCTAGGATTTCTCCTTCAAGCTTGAGGCCATCCAACTTTAACCTTTCATTACCTCCCTTATCCCTTAATGAGGTTTCTCTTGTTCCATTCCCTTTTAGCTTCACTTTCTTTCCTGGTCTATTCCCCTCTAGTTAGACTTTTCTAAAGTATGTCCACCAGCCAGAAACGTAGCTGACTGTATCTTAAGTAAAGGTAGTTTTATTTACTCTTGTTCCAAACCAGTATCTGGGCCCAGTCTTAAAGTAGCCCCGTGGCTTCCACCACCATCCTGGGATAATCTGCACTTTTATTAGTTTTCTCAAGTGGCCTCCTCTACTTGTTTTATAATTCTTCCTCCTGTGGTGCTTCTCACCAAGTTTCTGCTTTTTTAAGAAAAGCCATTACTTCGCCACTTAATTTTAAAGGGAAGCAAAATGCTTGAACCCATTGAATAATCAAGCTTTTCCCAAGTGAGAACACTAGCTCTTCCCTTTCCAGGCTCACTTGGATAACTGATAACTTAGGTGCCTCACAGACCCCAGTGAATGTATTAACAGAAGACAGTAAATACAGTTTTACAATATCAAAATACATAAGACAACAGTATTGAAATTACAGCAATCACATATAGTTCAGGAGGAAATAACAACAACACCAACAACAACAACAACAATAGAAACTTTTATACTAAGAGAGTAGGTACAGGGGAGGTTTTCTGACCCCTCCGTAGTGAGGGGTTAATTTCTTTTTAAAAAAGTATATCTTACAAATTAGCCCAGAGGTTTCAACCTTTGATCTGCTGGCTTCAGGCTCTTTTGCTTAATGCTTTTTCCATATTTTATTAATAAAAATTTGGCATTTGGAGAAATTTTTTTTCCTATTAAATTCAAAGGGTTTGCTGATTTGGTGCTAAAAGTCAGTTATAAACATTTGTCATCCCATCTTGGAGAAAAGTCTCAGCACTTGGACTTTTCAAACTGCTTTATATTTGACCCATCATCTACCTGCTTAAACGCAAATTCCTTTCTATTCCTTTGTTTTTGTCAGAAATTCTAAAATTTTTAATCTATGGCCAATCCAAAGTCTTTGCTGTACAATGAATAGAAGTAAAATACCAGGACATAGATGGTAATAAAAGTCTTTTACCCATTCCTTCTTTTCCCCATTGCAAATATTCCAAATTTTACCAATCACCTGAATATCTACACATCACCTCTACTTTGTCTCATCTCAGAAAATATATTTTCCTTATAATCACAAGGGGAAAACATAAATTATATAGATCATGATTTCCTTCAACTTGAAAATTATATAGCATAGTAGAAAGGAATATAGGTTTTAGAGCTACACAAATTGGGATTTGAATTCTGACTCTGATCCATATAGACAGTGTAACCATGGACAAGCTATTTGATCACTATAAGCCTTTCAGGATTGTTGAAAGGATGAAATATCATTAAATAAGGTCGTTACCATAGTGCCAGGCATGTAGTAAATACTCAATAAACAGAAGCTATTTTTGTTTCAATTCTGGAACTATCTACTTTCTTCCTTTATCCTCTTTAAAAAGTAAGTCTTCCACAGTTGAAGAGACACACACCCTCTAACCTCCTCCAAAAAATTATTCAATTATTCTTGTCTTTGCTGTATCTTTAAACTTTCCCATTCTCCCGTACTTTATAACTGTACAAAAAATCTACACCGTCTGAAAAATGTGCTTTAACCCAACATCAAGATAGCACCTTAACTCCTTCCCTTGATTTATGGGCAATTTTTGAAAAGATTAAGTCTCAATTCAGTTAGTCCTACTTTTATATTCTAGCCCCTAACAATTACTGTTTTAATCAAAAATTTTAAGAAAAGCCTTTCAGGCAGCATTCTTTCTTAGCAACTTTTCTCATTCAGAAGCTTTTTCTTCTGAATAGCTATTGCATCAGTAACACCAAATTTAAATAACTCATTTAAAAAGTCTTCAGTAGAAAATATACATACTAACAAAAAATTTCATAGTATATCAGTATGAATTGCTTTTCTCTGTTTTTCATTAGGGATGCTGCCTCCCAATTAAAAATTCATAACTCTTTCATATATACTTCAGTTCCCGACTTTCTGCCTACCCTTTTTTAAACCTCCACCTTAATTTGAGCTACCATAGGAATGTGATGGACACTGAATTTTTTTCTGAATCTATAGTCGCTCTTCATTATTTGTTGTTCAGGTTTAACCATATTAACTCCTGACACTCGGTATTAAATCTACAACTTCAATTAAGTAATTGATCTCAGAATAGTTTTTTCCTTTGACTCATCTCCATCTTCTCACTGGGATCCATATTAATGAACCTTGATAAAATTTACAGTCTTTATAGCTAAAGCACATAATTTGAATTTTTACTTAGATGATAAAAAGGATAGAACGTTACTTTTATCACCACTTCCGCTGACTTTATAACTAGAATTTGTATCAGTCTAGCCTTATATCAGTATACCTCCAATATGACAAATTTTGAGACTGAACAAGATTCCTAGATTGAAAACTCATTATTCACCTTTCCATTCATCTTGTAACCAATCATCCTTTCATCAGACACAATGGAATTTCTAAAATTCCCTCTATACATTCAACCTGTCACCATCTGGCCTTATTATTGACACTGTACCTGTTACCTCCTAGCTTCAGACAATGGCAATCAGATTTCAACTGAACAGGTGAGTATTGCATCCCTCCTCTTTCTCACACAGCAGTCATATCAGTACAAGATGCAAATTCTTCAGTGTAGTCAGCCAACACAGACAGGCATCCTTACAGCCATTACAGCTCATCAAGTACTCCCTTCTCACATCAGCCCACACATTAAGAGTCCTTAGCTACCGGACCAAACCTTGGTGCTCTGCTCCCTACTCACTCCAGGTGAAGCCCAGGGTGCCACCCTCTATCCTTCCAGGTGATTTCTCGGCTACATCCCTTTGCTTGCTGTCTGCCTTGTCCAGGGTCCCTTAGCCCCATTCTGACATGCTTGAGTCTCATACCTCCACCTCCTCACCTGCTCATGCTTCGCCTCTCTGCCCAGCTCTCCTCTCTGCCCCTTCCACCCAGTGATTCTCACCCGAGGGTGCATGACCCCCCAAGGAGGCCTATCAGCAACATCTTTGGGGTGTGTTTTTGTGTTTTCTTTTGAATTTTTTTGGTTTTGTTGTTTCAAGCAGTGTACTGCTCCCCCTTCAGATGGTGTGATAGGCCTTCCTTGGGGTTCATGCCCACCCCCCCCTCGGGTGAAACTCACCCCCCCCACCCCCGGGAAGAATCACTGCTGTGGAAGCCCAACCTCACTCCTGGGCTGGACTCACCCTTGGGCCTATAGCCTTCTACTGGTTGCCATTGACACATTTTCCTGAAAGATCCCAGCATTCGCAACATTCTCTCACTGTCCTGACACTGGTCCTCCTGCAATTGTCCAACTCCCTTCCAACCCCAATCTGCAAAACACAATTATTTATCTGTAGCCACCACCACAATTCCAAAACACACACACACACACACACACTCACCCATGCGTAAACTACTCCTCCCTCCATTCCTTTATGACTCTGGTGTCTTGTGGAAGTACGTTTGTCCCAGGACCAGGACTTTCTCAGCTCTTGCTATTCTGCCTTTTCTCAATGTTATCCCTCTTCTCACACCCCTGGCATGATCCTTCCACAGAGC